TGTGGGGCGCAACACCACAGCGATCTTTTGCATTCGATGCCTCGATGACCAACTTCTCAACCCCGGCAGCCAGCCATAAAAAGTGCTAGCCGACCAAATGACTAAGATTTATGTAGATCTTAGCTAAAAGGCCGAGAAGCGATGTGTAAGTGCATAAAATCAATTTTAATTGCATGCCCTTGATAAATTTAAAAAAATAAAGCAGCAAGTGTTAACTTTGAACTTTTACTTTTTTAAAAATCATTTTTTTGATTCAGCTTACAGTTTTTATTTAAGATTATTGCCTAATTAAAAATTAATATTCGAACCAAAGGTTTAAAGATAAAAAAATTTCATACAAAAGTTTTAGTATTTTTAGGAAACAAATCAGACGACACTAGTTTTCCATTAATGTAATTATTTTTTAATTTCTTAATTTAATTACAAAATTCCAAAGTACACTGTGCTTTTCTCTAAACAATGTTTTAGTTTTCATTTCACGTTATTATATATATATATATATATATATATATATATATATATATATATATATATATATATATATATATATATATATATATATATATATATATATATATATATATATATATATATATATATATATATATATATATATATATATATATATATATATATATATATATATATATATATATAATACTGTATTTATGACACCGAATATATAGTGCCATAATTAAAGTACCTTGCAGTTGTACATTTAGCTCGTTTACTTTCTTTGTGATATCCACAATGACGTTGAATTTTTCTATTCGGGGTGGACAATTAAATAGGAAGTACACCGCATTGCAGCTCCGTGGCTTTTAGGGCGCCCATGGGACAAGAATGGTCAAGGAACATCTCCCATGGCGGGTAGTACAATGTACTGGATGTGAAGAAAGTCTAGGCCCACCACGGTTAGGAGTACTCCAGAAGGTAGTATCAGTGAAGCCTCTATGTGACGCTAGGATCCGTGCTCCTTCGCAACTGCGACAGTGCCCGACATGGCGGTGAGTGGTCGGCTGGGGGGGAGGGGGGGTCGACTTTGGGGTTGTGTACACGAAGGCAGAAACGCGTCCCTTACCTGACACGGCGTCCCGCATCTGGAGGGTGGCGAAGACAAGCCTGGTGAGAACCTAAGGATCAAAAGTGACCAAAGTGTAGCGATCAAACCGGCATCTTCAAGGCCAGTTAGTCGGAGTTCGCTATGCCTGGCTTATGGGAGCTAGACTCCTTAGTCGGTATACACGTGCAGAGATTCTTCTCCTGCACAACTTCGTGGGGGCTCTACCCCCCCCCCCGCCCCCCCCCCACCCGAAGAAAGTCTACTGCCCCCCCCCCCGGGATATACACACGATTTTTAATCCATATTAAATACTTACACTTTTTAAAATAAAATAAACTCTCGTCGAAAAAAGAATTGTACACCAAGTGAACACTTTTACTTTCTAGTATATACGAAGTATAGAGAAAGTCTTGTAATCGTGCAAAAATAAATCGAGATTTTTGCAAATCTCGACAATTTAGGGCTCCCTGAGTCGGAAAAACATAGTTTTGCAATCTTGTCCGTATGTCTGTGTGTATGTCTCTCTCTCTCTCTCTCTCTCTCTCTCTCTCTCTCTGTGTGTTTTGAAACGTCCTAGACAACGGCCTTTATTTTACAAAATTTCAAACTACACTGTTCTTTTCTCTAAACAATGTTTTAGTTTTCATTTCATGTTATTTTATATATATATATATATATATATATATATATATATATATATATATATATATATATATATATATATAATACTGTATTCATGACACCATTATATTATATATAGTGCCGTATTTAAAGTACCGAATTTAAAGTATTGTATTTGGTCACACCTTTAAAATGGTAAAAAATACTACTATCACTGAACTATCAGTGTCGGTTTGGTGTAGGGGGTAGATATATAACAACTGAAACCTTGCTCAAGCTTTACCCGCCCCAGATCTGTTGTGTGATTTTCTACAAACAGTAATCATTTTAATAGGTTGGTTCGTCTAGTTATCCAAATGTAATACTTTATTAAAATGCTTATGCATTTATTATAGAGACCAAACAAATGATGAACCCAAACATTCAGAACAGACACAACATTTGATAAAACTAAACTTTTAAATATATGAAAATTATTTTTTTTTATTCAGCTAGCCATTTATTTAAATTTATCGTCCAATTAAAAATTAAGTATGTTAAACAAAGTTTTAGAACAAAAATTTTTATACTCAAATTTTAATTTTTTGAATTTCCTTAATGGAAAAAACTAGTTCACGTTTAGTTCGTTTATTTATTTATTTTTTTTATTATTTTTTTTTTTATTTTTTTATTTTTTTTTATTTATTTTTTTTTATTTTTATTTTTAAATACTTTTATTTGCAATTAAAACAAGTAGGCCTACATCAACATCAAATTTTTTAACATAATTTTGAACACCAAAAGAAAACGAAAGGTTTTGCAAATGTACATAATGAATATTTACATGATGTCATGTATTTGATTATAAAAAAATTGCAAAGGATGACAGTAAAAGGGGTGAAGGTCAAATGAAAGTGTCAGAAGTCTGGGTGGGGAGAGGAAAGGAAATTTTTCAGAGAGGGTCAATGGGACAGTGAAGCATTTTCTATGTAGGGAAACAACTTGAGTTGACTAGTTGAAAGGGTGTTGTAGTGGTCGCATTGAGTTTTCAGAAGGTTGCAGTGTGAAAGATGAGGGGAAAGATTTATTTATTTAATTGAAACTTTTTTTTTTCTTTTTTTTTTTTCTTTTTTTTTTATTTTTTGACGGAGTATGCTTTCACAATTGCAGAAAAGAGGTTATTGTTAAATCTGAATTTTTTTCCTCATGTCTACAAGACAATTCTTTAAATCAGCTAGCTGTTTGCAATTAAAACTTGAGCCTGATAATAATTTAAATTTACAAAACCAATGTTAGGCAATCATTTTTATAAGACTTAAAAATATTTTTATTTTAATTTACAATGTTTTATATTTTTCAAAATTATTTATGAATTTCTTTGCACATGTAGCCATGTTTGGGATCAAAGTTATAGGTTATCCTTCTTGGTTAATGTAAATTTATAAATGGAAATGAGCGTAGGCGAATTAATTAAGTACATTTTCTTGATTCGGATATAATTACATTAATTCATCTAAAATTCATTTAAAATTTAAATAAGCAAGATATAGGCCTATATTTTCCATATACACATGTATCTATAAATATAAAGGCTAAAGTGGGAAAAATGTTTCTTAGTTTGAATTTTGTTTGTAAATATGTGGCTATGTTGTTAAATCAAACTTTGACATCTTTCGTGAATAAAATAACATTGCTAGTTTGATGCTGTTTTTAGAGGCGTTCGAATACAGACACTTCCTTGTCTTCTCTACAGTACCGTTATAACCCTTTGTAGAACAGATTTGTCCCTGAAAATTAACATAATAATGAATAACTAATATTTTATTGCTTATCTCTTATATTAGTAATTTAACATTAACATAAAGAGTTAAACCTGAACCGAGATTCTATAAAAAAACTGTCAATATTTTAAAAAAAAACATGTTCGCTTACGCTATCAAGGTACGCAATCTTTGCAGTGATTAATTTAATGCAGGTTCAGTAGTATCGATCTAGTAGTTAGATTCGATATCCGACATGTTAGATTCGATGTTTATCATGTGTTAATTATATTCGATGATTTGTGGGATTTAATATTTTCAGTTACTATAAAGCCTAAATACTTATTGTATTTATTGCATATTTATAGTACCAATTTAGAGTACCGTATTTATTTATAATACCGTATTTTGGTTACCGCATTTTTCTGCGTTTAAAGTAACGTATTTATAGTGCAGTATAGGGTAACTGTGTATACGTACATCAGGCTTTCAGGCACAGGTAAAAGTGTCGTAAAATATAAAAACATGCCAATGCCGGGGTCAGATAAAGGGTCACGTTCAAACTCATCCCCCGACTACCAATCAACAACTGTAGGTTGATTAATCTGTAACAGAGACCTTCAGGTTTCTAACAATCAAATTAGGAAATGTTCAAATGTTTTTATTCAGATACATGAATATTCTTTGATCTTTTGCTTAACCGTAATTCCCCTTTCAAATCTTACGGTCTATAGGGCAAGTGAAGTAGAGTTTACTTGTTTCTGTGACCTCGGCATATAAAGAGATAGTGTGGTCAGCACCATGCTCAGCCGCCTTTACTTTCCCTAACGTGAGTTAGGCGCCCTTCAGAGTTGGGTGGACTCAGGGGTGATCTATTGACTTGAACCCGGATTCGAACTCGAGACTAACGGGTTAGCAGTCCAGCTCTCTACCGCTAGACCACTCCGTCCAACACCAAGTGAACGCCTAATAAAATGTGCATAAAAGTACGGGATATTATTAGTACTTTATAAATTTACATGCGTTTTTTGAGAAATCGGAAATAGCGTAAATTAGTACTTCCGGTCAACGGAAATTACTCAAAATTTGGCAGAAGGTAGAGAATTAGATCTTTGACTTACGTATGAAATTTTATTTATCTATCTGAAACAGCAGTCAAGTTATAGGCTTTAAAAAATTCAAAGTAGAAAAAGTACCACTTCCGGTTATCAGAAATCGCTCAAAAGTTGATTTAGTATCTACGATTTTGATATAGTACTTATATATGAAATTTCATCAACCTAGCTGTAACGGCACTGAAGTTATCGTGTTCACACACAGACACACAGAAAGACACACAGACATACGGACAAGATTGCAAAATTATGTTTTTCCTTATCAGTGATTACAAGACTTTCTCTATTCGAGAAAGTTAAAATGAAAATAGAAGGGGACACGAACAGCTGTATTAATGCTTAAAATGAGCAAGATATTTCTTTTTTTAAGAGATTTGGGTTTATTCCACAACTATGTAAGTTCAATTAACTTTTATTTTATAAGGTAAAAGGAAATTGTATAAATAAGTTAAAAGCCACATATCAACTCTTTCCTGATTTATTTTTTTGTAACTCCATTTGGTAAGAGTCCAACATTGATTCAATATTCAAAAATTTTTCATGGTAGTCTAAAGCATTGATAAGCCCATCCAAACCTTCCCCTCCCAGCATAAACTCAAACAGGTTTGAATAGTTCTCTTTCACGCGGTGATCAGTGACTCTGTCCTGTTGGAAGTTGTAAGTTCTAATATTTTCTGGTCTGCCTTTGGTGCCTATTTGCATTTTTCTCATTGTCCTTCTTTTGATCTCTTGCACTTCAAGTTGTGCTTGGTAATTCCTAGATTTGAGTTTCTTTAATGCGATTTCTTTATTTTTAGCCTGTGAACGCTCTTGTCTGCACTCTGCCACTGTTCCTGTGTGAATGTGAGTTATCCTCACAGCACTGTCTGTGATATTGACAGACTGTCCACCAGGACCACTGCCGTGAAAAATTTCCACTTTTAAATCTTGAGGCTGGATGTCAATATCTATAAAATGAGCAAGATTTTTTTTGTTTTTTATTTTTCTCTTTTTAATTTTTTTTTTTTTTGGCCTCAGACATGTAACTTACAGCGTCAGTTGTGTGTTCGCTTCAGTATTACAGTTTTCATCATCGGCTTGTGAGGACTGATACAGATTTACAATAGTAATATTTCTTTCTTACTTGTAGCCTATTTTCATTCATTTAAGATGGTTTACTTATACATAGATCTAATACAAAACGTCTAAATATAAAAAAAAATTAAAAAAAAAAATAAAAAACAACATGAAAATGCAAATGTGTAATTAAGTGATGATTCAAGGGATTTTTTTCCCTCGGCGTGGTGGGTGAGGGGGCGGGGGGGGGGGGGCGGTGTAGAATTTGGGTTTTTAAGTAGAGCTGAAATAAATTTATGATTACAGAGAATTAAAATGATACAAATTTTAAGCAATCGGAAAAGTTATGTTATTACAACGAGACACATCAATGCAAACATTCTTCTCTTTCAAACATCTATATCTGTACAGTCCTCAAACAGTTTTTTTTAATCAATTGTTTTAAACATTTAAATCAGTAATAGTAATTTGTTTGATAGTTTTACACAGCATCAAAGATTTGAACATCAATTGCATATTTAATAATCAAAGAGAGACAAGAAAATGGCATAAGACTAGACTAAAATAAGGTGTGCAAACTCGGTTTCTCTTCACTGTGCTCAGTCTTTAGCTGTGGAGTCAAAAGTTCACATTGTAGTCATCCATGGACAGAAAAAGAAACGAACGTGGGAGAAGTGTCTCCTTAATACTCATACTGATAAATGAGCAAGATATACGCCTACATTTTTTGCAAACCGATTGAACGGAAATATTGTTTAAATTGAACTTTCTCATCATGTCTACGATTCAATTCTTTAATTCAGCCAGCTGTTTGCAATTAAAATTTGAGCCTGATAAAAATCAAAAATTAAAAGTACAAAAGTTAAACAATCATTTTTGTAAGAATTAAAAATTATTTTGTTTCTGTTTACACTGTGAACAAAGTTTTGTATCTTTTACAACTATTTATGAATTTCTTTGTACATTTAGCCCTTTTTGAGAGCAAATTTATAGTTTATCCTTCTTGGTTAATTTAAATTTATAAATGGAAATTACCAAAGGCGAATTAATAAAATACATTTTTTGATTCGGATATAATTCATCTGAAATTTAAATGAGCAAGATATACGCCTACATTTTCTATATACAAATGTATCTATGAATATAAAGGCTAAATTGGGAAAATGTTTCTTAGTTTGTATTTAATAGTCATGTATGTGGCTACGTGTTTAAAGCAAACTGACATCTTTCATGAACAAAATAACATTGCTAGTTTGATGCTGTTTTTAGAGGCGTTCGAATACAGGCACTTCCTTGTCTTCTCTACAGTACCGTTATAACTCTTTGTAAAAAACATTTGATGCTGAAAATAAACATATTGCTGAATAACTAAAAATATTTTATTGCTTAACGCTTATATTAGCTTTTCAAAGTACTTTAACATTAACAAAGAGATACACCTGAACCGAGTTTATATCAATATTAAAAAAAAAAACAAGTTCGCTATCAAGGTATGCAATCTTTGCAGTGATTAATTTAACGCCGGTACAGTAGTATCGATCTTGTAGTTAGATTCGATATCCGACTTGTTAGATTCGTTGCTTATCGTGTGTTTATTAGATTCGATGACTTGTGGGATTCAATATTTTCAATTACTATTTAGCTGAAATACTTATTGTATTTATTACATATTTATAGTACCAATTTAGAATACCGTATTTATTTATAATACCGTATTTTTAGTTACCGCATTTTTCTTCATTTAAAGTACCGTATTCATAGTGCAGTATAGGGTAACTGTGTATACGTACATCAGGCTTTTAGGCACAGACAAAAGTGCCGTAAAATATAAAAACATGCCAATGCCGGGGTCAGATTAAGGGTCCCGTTCAAACTTAATCCCCCGACTGGCCAATCAACAACTGTAGTTGATTCATTGTAACAGAGACCTTCAGGTTTCTAACAATCAAATTAGGAAATCATCTTCATCATCATCACCATCATCATCATCATCATCATCCCTGTGTGGTCCCTGGGGAGCAAAGGGCTGCAAACACACATTTCAAATGTTTTTTATTCAGATAAATGAATATTTTTTTCATCTTTTGCTTGACCGTAAGTAAGTTCCCTTTTCAAACCTGACGGTCTATAGGGCAAGTGAAGTAGAGTAGGAAATCGATGTTTTAAAAAAATATTAAACAGCAATTTTGAGGGAGGAGGGGTATGCTTGGGGTGTGACGTAATTTTAGGAGGGGTTTAGGTTTTTGTGACGAGGTATGGCGGTGGGGAGGACCGGATTTTAAAATCCTCCAAAAAAAGTATGACGTTTTTAAGGACGACCCAAAAAAAAATAATAAGAAAAACATTGCAGAATTTGAATTTCCTTCAAATTAAAGAATAAATTAGTGATTCGTGGACTTTGTTTTTGGGGACCGGCTACATTTATTTATGTTGATATTGTGGTCCATACGTGACAACATTTATACATTCTTCATGATAGCTCATAAATAATATAAACATTTGTTTTGATGTGACGTCACCACATGACCCATCGAAGCTTCTGGACAACCCTCCGCTCCTCCATGGGGACTTTAGGCACGTCCACCAGCACACAGCTCACGTTGGACACGTCACCTGCACGTGCATGAGCAGAAAACACACCAGTTACTGTAAGACTTCGACTTTTGTGTTGAAGGCGAAATAAATATATATGTACAACATATATGTACATGTGTACAACACAACAATGGTGAGTAAATGGTGAGTTGTTGATGGTGATACGTGTGGAGATATGTAAATAAAGTGAGACTGCTATGATGTATGTAGGAATATGTAAATAAAGTGAGACCGCTATTGTATATTTAGGGAGAAATAAATAAAGTGAGACTGTATGATATATTAAGTGATACGTGAAGTGAGAATACTTTGATACGTGTAAGGATATGTAACTAAATTGAGACTGCTATGATAAAATTGTTATGTGTAGGGATATGTAACTAAAGTGAGACTGCTACGATATATGATGGGATATGTAAAACAAGATTGTTACATGTATAAAGTTTAATAAGTGAGACAGCTATGATACGTGTAGAGATATGTAATTAAAGTGAGACCACTGTTAGTTATGGTGCAGTATTTTTCCCTTATAAATTAAGTTCATCTACACACACCCCCCCTCCCCCCAGCCCTATACGTAATTACTAAAACAATGAAACACGGCTCTCAGCGTGACTAATGATCCGGTTATAAGGCAATTTAAAAAGTTTACATTTCTTGAAGAGGAAATCATCCTGCCATATGCCCTTGACCAGGTCAAAGTGTTCTGTCATTAGAACCGGGTCACCTGTCTCGACATTTGACCCCCCGATCACGTGGATCTTGTCACCTGTCCAAAAAAAATTAATATTAAAATCTCCTTTTTAAAAGAACAAAAACAAATCCTGGTAAATCTAGGGATAGCTACACATCTAAGAGAGAAAACTCCAAAATAAAACAACCACTGCTTTTTTTTGGTGGAGAATTTTTTTGTATTTGTTGGGTTATTTTCTTTCCAACGCCGTTATAAACCCCATAACCAACTTTACTTCCAAAGTTATTTCAAACACTATTTCTAACAACACCCTTATATTAAGTTATATGTTCGGTCATACTCTTCTATTATGTAATGAGCCCTACACTTCTATTAAGTTTTAGGGTCGACCATACACTTTTATTAAGTTATATGATCAGCCATACATTACTATTATGATATGTTCGGCAATACTCTTCTGAACTGGGCCCTACATTACTATTAAGTTATAGGATGGGACCCACACCTTTATTAAGTTATATGTTCGGCCATACTCTTCTACTATGTAATGGACCCTACACTACTATTAAGTTATGTAATGGGCCCTACACTTTTATTAAGTTATATGATTGGCCATACACTTTTATTAAGTTATATGATAGGCCATACACAGGCCCTTTTTTTCCTCGGCACAAGATTAAACAAGCGGGGAGTGAAAGACCAGAGATATGGAATACCAACACAGGATCGATTTTGGGCACTTCTAACAGACAGATTCGGTTCAAAGTTGGCACGTGGGTCAAGACATGAAGACAATGCAATCTGACATTAAATTTGACTTAATTGGATGCCTAATTAATTTTTTAAGAATTAATTAAAATTGTGTCCAAATTAGTAGTCTTATCCAACTATACCGCACTATTATACGCGCATCATTACGTTCATTAGGTGCGCAGTGGTTTTTTAGTCACGCTACTCTGTTGTAATTCTTAAAAATGTAAAGTACTGAAAAAACTTCATAAAAATTGTTTTAAGAACAAGCTTTATGTTATAAGGCCTGGGTCAGCAACCTTTTGGAAGAGCCACAAGTTACAATTTACAAAAGTTCCTAGTTTTAAAGAGCCACTTACAATTTTATTTCAATATTTTGGCATTTGATTATGATTAAATATATACTTTTGAATTTTGGTTTGAAAAAAATTGCTTTAAATATGAAAGAATAATTATACTTAAAAACATACTAATATTTCGCACAAAACCTATTAAAGTATTTCACTCAGCTCTGCTATCATAAAATTAGTAATCAAATAAAATTACTATACAACTATCCCAATCCACTTTAGAAGCCAATAACTTTTTTTCTTTCTCTACCGACACCACCAGCTCAGGATGTCTCCCATAGCCCGGCAGCCCTAAACACGGTCAACTCCGACTACTGGCTTGGGTATCGGTCGCTTCTGCCTACGGTTCTCATCGGGCTTATCTTCCTACCGACTGAACGCAGGGTAAACTCGTACCCCACCGGCTCAACCGTAGGAAGCTAATAACTTAAAAAAGAACACGTCACTCTGGTCAAATTAATGCATATTGACCGATAGAAAAATGTATTCTGAATAAGAATTATATTCCTCATTTAACGATATTCGAAAAAGTCGGCAGTGGCAAGAATGGAACCTTCTCCACGGGGCTGGCTACACCACTGTTGTGGGGCTGGGTCTGGTGCCCAAGCGGCTGTCAGCTGTCTGTATACTCTCTACCTCACCTACTCTTATTGTTCTCTGATGAGTGTTTTTATCATTTTTAAAGTTGTTTTCCTTTATAATAATTTTAATGAGTTTTGAAAATAATACAAAATAATTATTAATATTTGTGCATGGAACTGGAGAGCCGCATCTTGACATCAAAAGAGCCGCATGCGGCTCGCCAGCCGCAGCTTGCTGACCCCTGTTATAAGGCACTAAAAAGTAGAAAATAAACAACACACTACTATTTAAATAGCTATAAAGAAAAGCGTGGGTCTCTTCCTAAATATTAGTAAAGGCAAAGGCGTAGCGAGGGGGGGGGGGGACGGGACACCATTTAGGGGGATGACACCAAGGCAAAAAATAGCAAAATATATAGAGAAAAAC